GCAAAGAGACGAGTGAATTTTGAAAATTTGAATTTTGTGCCCGTCGTGGAGGACAGAAAGATCGACTTGGTTATCCGTGAGCTGTCCAGGTTTGACGTGGAAGTGGCTGGCCTGCAGGAAACCAAATGGTTTGGGAGAGACTCTTTCAACATCGGCGATGCGACTGTACTCGCCTCTGGTCGCCCCGTACCTGACGAAAATTTTCGTCGTGGCGAGGGTGTTGCGCTGGTTCTGCGTCGGAGGGCCAAGCAGGCATTTGAACGTGCAGGCTGCCAGTGGAGGCCCGTCTCGTCGCGCATCGTGACGGCCAGGTTGAGATTTGAGCACGGGTGGATGTCAGTGATTTCATGTTACGCTCCTACGTTTCGATCCCCGCATGCTGACAAGGAAGAGTTCTTTGCTCAGTTCCAGTCTGCTCTCAGCGATGTCAACTCTGCTGATGACGTCATCGTCCTGGGGGATTTCAACGCTCGTGTTGGTTTTGGCCCACAGCAACTAGAGATGTGGCAGGGAGTGCATGGATCACATGGTGTTGGTGATGTGAACGATGCTGGTCATCGACTACTCACATTCTTGGCGTGTCAACAGCTCACAGTATGTAACACACTGTTTCCCAAGAAACGCATCCACATGTACAACTGGCAACACCCTGGATCACAGAAGTGGCATTGTATAGATTATGTGTTCGTACGCCAACAACACCGTAAACGTTGCATGGACTGTCAAGTGATGCGCACTGCAGAGTGTAGCACAGACCACCGTCTTGTCCGCATGAAATACCGGCTACCTGACGTTGTGCAGCAACGGTACCATCATGATGCACGTTCCAGGCCGCGGAAGTTTGCTGTTCACCAATTCAATCGGAAGCCATTCATGAGTGAAGAGGAGGCTGAGCGTGTGGCTACTGTACGTGCTGAGTACTGTGCTAGTCTTGAATCTCGTTTAGCCACGTATGACCGCGCCTCGTCTGTGGACTGTAAGTGGAGTACCGTGAAGTCGGCTGTTGTTGACGCGGCGGAGCAGGTGGTTGGTCGGGACAAGCGGCGGATGCCAGATTGGTTCCGTGACAATGCCCTTGTATTGGAGCCTCTACTGGAGTCTCGTAATACCCTGTATAGCCAATGGCTGAGAAGCGGCAGGGACTCTGATCACCGGGCATTCAAAGAAGCGCGTGGCCGGGCTCGTACTGGTATCCGGAAGGCAAAAACAACTTGGTTGATGGACAAAGCGGCGGTGGTGCACCGTGGACGTTTCAGTGGCAAAGCTGTCTGGTCTGCCATTCGCGACATGCAACGCTGCTTTGGGGGCTTGCAACCCCTGTCTGTCCAATCCATCCGCAATGCCGATGGAGTTCTTTGCGAATCTGTTCAGGAGCAGCAGGGCACATGGCATGGGCATTTCTCGGGTGTCTTGAATGTCTGCAGTGTGTACGATCCGCATGTCTTCCAACTTATCCCTCAGCGTGAGGTCGAGGACTCCCTCTCACTGCCACCATCGGAGGATGAGCTGACTCAGGCAATTAGACACCTACAGAATGGCAAAGCTGGTGGTATGTCACAGATTGTGCCGGAGCTGCTGAAGGTTGGTGTGCCTGTCCTCCATCCACTCCTCCTGGACCTACTCCAATCTGTCTGGTCGGGGGGTTGCGTGCCCCAGGACTGGCGCGATGCACTGCTGGTACCGATTCCAAAGAAGGGCGACCTCTCTCGCTGCGATAATTGGCGAGGGATCGCATTGCTGGAGGTTGTCGGCAAGTTGGCTGCTCGGATCATGCAAAACCGATTGCAAGGTATTGCTGAGGCGGAACTGCCTGAATCCCAATGCGGGTTTCGGCGGCACCGTGGTTGTGCGGACGCCATCTTCTCTGTCCGTCAACTTGTCGAGAAGTCGTACGAACATCGATCGAAGCTCTTCTGCGTATTTGTGGATCTCCGCAAAGCATACGACTCTGTCCCTCGCGAAGCTCTTTGGCAGGCATTGCTGCGGCTGGGTGTGCCGCCCCCGACTGTGGCCATCATCAAATCATTCCATACAGACATGTCAGCTTGCGTTCGCGTTGCCGGTGGTTGCACGGATCCGATATCTGTCAAGAATGGGCTGCGCCAAGGGTGCGTTATGGCACCTGTACTGTTTAACTTGTACTTCGGCTTAGTTATTGAGCGTTGGCGATCCCTTCTCGTTGAGCGTGGAATAGAGTCTGGTGTGGACTTCAGCTTCACAATTGATGGCCAGCTGTTCCCTCGTGTCACTAGGCGTCGTCCCCACTCCGAGTCCGGCCATGCTGATGACTTCGAGTTTGCGGATGATGCTGTACTGCTCGCTACAACTCGCAACGCAGCCGATCAATCCCTGTGTGCCTTTTGTGAGGTCGCATCCAGCTTGGGTCTCACAGTGAGCATGACCAAGACCAAGCTTCTCGTTGCAGGTTTCGGAGTTTGCCCTGCTGATTGCTCTGATTTGGTCATTGGCAGTGATAGGGTTGAAGCAGTCACCTCATTCCCCTATCTTGGTTCCACCATCACTCCAGACTCGCGGTCGCAAGCGGACATTCGGAGCCGTCTAGCAAAGGGTGCAGGGGCCTTTGGTGGTCTTCGGCGCATCCTACATGACCGGAGCCTGAACCTCCCTACCAGGCGCCACCTGTATGTCGTTTGCGTACTGTCAACGGTTCTGTATGGTTCAGAATGCTGGACGCCGTTGAAGGCAGATTTAGATAGAATGGACCGGTTTCACCATGCCAACATTCGCTCCATCCTTGGCGTATCGCGAGGCCGACAGTGGGAACAGCGCATCTCTTCACAGGAACTGCGAGCACAGTGGGGTGATCCCACACCATTGTCACGCATGGTGCAGCAGAGACGGTTGGAGTGGCTTGGGCACCTGGCTCGTCTTGATGACACCAGAGTACCGAAGCAGTTGCTGTTTGCCTGTCTCCCTCAGTCTCGGCCATTCTGTGGACCTCGTCGTCGCTGGAAGGACACCATTCACACGGACCTATCCGTGGCTGGAGTGCGTAACTGGTTTGAGTTGGCAAGCGATCGTGGAGAGTGGCGTGGAGTGGTGACAGCAGCAGGTGAGGACAAGGAACCCGCCCCGAAGAGCATCGAGTGCCCAACCTGCAACCGTCTGTTCCGCCGTAGTTCCGACATGGTCCGGCACAAGTGTTCAGCAATCCGTCAGCTCCCGGTATCGGAGCAGCCTGGATCAGTACAGTGTCCAACATGCAACCGATGGCTACGTAGCAGAGGAGGCTTTGCGGTGCATAAGTGTCGGCTAGGCGATGTCGACCAGCCGCCGGCCCCTGCCCCTGCTCCTCTTGTTGTTCCTGGTGTAACTTGCACCAACTGTCAGCGTTCATTTAAATCGGCTGCGGGTCTCAAGCGTCACCGTTGTGGAACCTGTCCAAAGCGCCCTACTGTGGCTGAACGCCAACAATTCAAGTTTCACTGCCAAGTTTGCCACAACCGACGGTTCCGGAGGCGGCAAGATCTGGAACGCCACTTGGAGCATTGCCTTCCTCCCCCCTAACCTCTCTGACAGTACCTCCCTTTGGGGAGCGGCGTGGCCATTTCTGGCAGCTGTCAATAGTAGTAGTAGTAGTAGTGTGTGTGTGTCCCACGTGTGTGTCCCATATGGTGCAGTGGTATGTGCAGCGGTTTCCAATCGATAGGTTGCGGGTTCGATTCCCGACGATTATGGTCACACACGTCTTTCTTCTCTTTCTCAGACTCCTCCTGACTTTTCTTTCATTCTCCTGGGTGGTTACCAACAGTCAGTGCATGCCGGAGTATGTGGTGTGATGTGTGTGCGTGAAAAAAAAAGACCAAAAAGTAGGGATTCACTGGCCAGAAAAAGCCACTTCATAGCTGTGTGGTGTAGACCAGGCTGAATAGTGGCGGTCAATTCTTCAGCCTTGCAAGCTGTTGAATGGTGCAATCCCAGCACAAGCTGCTATGGCTTCTGCTGTATCATCGCTATCATCGCCTCCGGCGATGGGCGTCCAATGGTCCAATGGTGTCCCATATGGTGCAGTGGTATGTGCAGTCGATTTCCAATCCAGAGGTTGCGGGTTCAATTCCCGACGATTATGGTCGCACACGTCTTTCTTCTCTTTCTCGGACTCTTCCTGACTTTTCTTTCTTTCTCCTGGGTGGTTACCAACAGCCAGTGTATGCCGGAGTATGTGGTGTAGTGTGTGTATATTATTATTAAAAACATGTCCGCGTAGGTGGCGGGGGTGCCACTTTCGCTTATGCCATTCAGGATTGATGTCTGAAGAGTAATACGATACAATGAAATGACAGAAGTGACGTCAACAAAAGCCGTTAACAACAACACCAATATGACTAATGGAAAACTTCATCCAAAGTATAAAATAAAAAATATGCATACAACATGTCTGGTCAGTCCTGTTAGGTGGGGCGGGCTCCACGCCATGCCTGTCGGTCGGTTGCCATTGTGCGGACTGCGTCAACATCTAGCGGCTGGTGGAGGGTAAGTCCATGCAATGATAACAGTTCCGTCTGCAAGACCGTTACCAAAGTCGTCCGAGGTCGACCCCTGAAGCGTTCAGTGCCCTCGTCGTTGGCCAGGCGAAGATACATATCCACTGCCAACTGTGGAGGAGCAGTTGTAGTGTGTGTGTGTGTGTGTAGAAAAAAGAAAAAAAAGAAAAAAGAATAAAAAAATGGAAAAATGAAAAATAGGGATTCACTGGCCAGAAAATGTCACTTCAATCAGCTGTGTGGTGGATACCAGGCTAAAAATAGTAGCGGTCAATTCATCAGCCTTGCAAGCTGTTGAATGGTGTAATCCCAGCACACGTTGCTATGTCTAACATGGCTGTTTGCTATCATCGCTTCCGCGATGGGCAGGTCTGAGGTGTGAGGTGTGAGGTGTGTGCATGTGTATGTGGATGCATATACACATAGGCTCACAATGTGTATGTGTGCTTGTCTGTACTCATCAGACGTGTAATATCTTCCGTTTTTGCACTGCAGATGATTTGTCAGGCATCGGCAGTGACAGCGGGAAATCAGGGAATTACGCCATTCTTGTGTCATCTTCGTCTTCCGCTGTGGTCTTCCTCCTAGCTCTTGCCATCTTTATCTATTATTGGTCAAAGAGGCAAAATGGCACGCCCAAGAGGGGACTGCAACCTTCGGCGTCTCTCTTCGATGCGTATTACAATGTGAAAATGCGTGTGACCAATCCGCACGTCAAGCAAGTGTACAGTGGAAATGCTGACGCCCGTCAGGCTGCTAGGGTGAACGGCAGAGGGCCAGTGTCGACCACCACCGCCGTCGACTCCTTGGTCGACAACCTGTCTACTGCTGCCGACGATGAGCTTAACGAGGACTGGATGCTCCGAGAGTCCGCCTTTGAAACCCGCAGCAACAGAGGTCATCCCGGTGGAAGTCCGCGTAGCTGTGCAGAGTCGATGTTGAGTTACCGTGACGACGCAAACTACAGGCACGGCGGCATGATGTCGCTTGACAACGCTGGTATGGACACAATGTCAGTGGCTAGTCACATGATGCAGGAACAAGACTATCAGTCGTTCAACCTGCTGCCCGATGCCATGCCGGGCTCGCGCTCGCGAACGCACAGCCTGAACTGCTCGCCAATGGCCCCGGCACGCCCCTCCAGGGTACCGGCATCCATCTCAAACCAATCAATTTCATGTCGCAACGTTGATGCTTGCCGCGGCGGGCCAGCGGGACGAGGCAACGCACCCGGTCTGCGTGACGCGAACTACTCCAACGAACTGGATACTATTTCAGTTTCCAGTAATGTGCAGGAGCAGCAGTACCAATCGTTCAGCCTGCAGCCGGATGCCGAGCAGGGTTCCCGCGCACGCTCCAGGAGCTTGGGTGGCACACCAGCAGCGGCGAGACTGAACTGTCCCCAGCCCATGGCAGGGCCAGGCAGTGGACGGGGTGATACGTTGGCACGGAAAGCAAGCGGCATTTCCACCGGCAGTGCGATCAGCAGAGACATTCTCTTTTCCGAGCCGAGTGCGCCCCGCCGTGACTTCAGCAGAGTGGAGCCCGATCGAATATCCATAAGCTCAGGGGGATTCCCCATGCAGGGGAGTTTCAGTGGAACACAATTGCAACCTGGCTACATGCCAACACCAGGAATAGGCGATCGAGTGCAGCAGAACCCTGGATGTAACCCCCACCTTGCCCACTTACCAGGAAACACCGCACAACGTAATCCCCATGCCGTACAGACCTCTTCTCCCAGAATTTCACCGGCTCCGAGCTCGGAGAACATTGAGCTGCCTAAACGCCCACCAGCACTTGGGTACTCTCCCATGACACGAGAATCAATCTCCGGAATATCACAGGGAGCCCGAAGGCAGGAATCGCGCAGCGATCATTCCATTCCGCCGGTTCCATTTAACCAATACAACAATTGAGCCACCAGGTGGACAAGGAAATGCTGAGCATGTCTTTCTCTCTTGAACAACACCTGCCCGATTCCAATCTGTTTCCATGGAGATTAATGACATGGTAACAACGCACGCACATGAATCACTATGAAAACCCCCTACGCACGCCGTTGAGTCGTCGTGCGCCGGCTTCAAGATTAGGATTGTTCAGCATGCACGCATGCATGTCTAAGCGCTGGATTTCAACAGTCGAGAACAGCAAACCGAGAACAGCGGGCTGATTTAAACTCTGCCCTGTCGGCGGTCTAGCTATGCAACTCAATCACAGTTGTGACCTGCTACGGCTGCTTTCCAGTGCTTGTAGTGGATATCACAGCATTTCTGCACAACACATTCACGTATGAAATGAATGGGACCGGACAGTCTTCACAGGCCAAGGACTGAAAGGGAGTATGCCTGATGGACTTTTCTGCTAACCTGCCATACAAGTTGATGTTTTACGAACCGCCCAGCTTCGATTCAAATGGCAAGCACGCGGTATTTGTTCCTGTTTTGCCGCACTCTTCACAACGAGAATACGCGGAGCTGATCGGATTCCCAAGCCGTCTTGCAATACCCCAGGCAGGCAAGCCCAGAGCCGGTACAGTCACTAGCTAGCACTGTTCTAGACCAGTACTTTTCTCTGACATGTCGACCTCTCTCTACGTACATGCACGGAGAAATTACATCTGATCACACTCATACTCAGATCTGTTTTCTTTGCCGCTTTTCACTGTTCACATCCTCAGATACTGAGTACCTTGCTTGGAAAAGTATGCAATAATTATGAATGTTTCCATCCCAAAATTGGGAAATATCCGCCTTGATGTGGAGATTTCTTCATCAGCTGGATATCGGAAAACATAGAAAAGATTTTTTCATCATTGTATTGTAAAGCATCAACCACCGCTGGATTGCTTCCCACATATGTATGTATGTATGTATGTATGTATGTATGTATGTATGTATGTATGTATGTTAGCATAATAGGCTTACCGGTATGCGAGCACCGAAATAGGTTGTTCTAGCGGCTTAAGAAGAAAACAAAACGATACAGCTTCAGGTTATATAGTGCAGACATCTTTGGGTTCATGGCGGACTTTTTCTCGACATTCTTTGTCAGTTTTTCATTTGACGCCTGATTGAGAAATGTTTGAGGGCTGCGTTCCCTTCGAGGACGTCAGGGGATTTTCTTCGTGCTCATAGGTTCTGACTCCTTTTTTGCTATGAATCCTTCGTGTATCGGCTAGCATCGTTAGGCATGATTGTCATTGCTGAAGAACACTGATCTCTGCCGCTCAGTCTTTGCTGTCAAGACATAATCCGAGACAGTCCTAGCTCATGATTTCCTGTATGCCAATGGACACGCATTGGCCACAGCTAGTTGACAAACATACTGAAACTTCTAGGTGTTTCTCTCATAGCTTGCACGTGGTCTTGGCTGTTTCCATGCTTTCTTACAAGTTGGTACAACATGCCTTCTTGCTATATCTATTTCACAAGGTGTGTTTAGAACTTTTCAAGTTTTTGTGAAGCTCGCACCGCCACGTGTGTTTCTATTTGTCCGCAACATCACTAATCAAGGACGCTGGGTTTTTTTCTCACTCGTGTAATCACCCTGTAGGTTTCACTTCGCTGGCACAAGCCGCACAACATGATGCCTCATTGATCACCACAATCATCTACTTAAAAGGTGTCAACACTATCTGAATCTGGGCACGAAAATGATTGCTGCTTGCTGGTTGTTCTAGGCATGGATCCACTGTGTGCATGCGTGTGCAAGTTTTAGGAAACCAAGCACCAAATTCGTAAAACAAGAAAGAAGGAGGAAATGACGAAAACAACAAACTAACAGGACATTGACGAATGTGGCTGCAATGCAAGGCAGCGGCGGCGATTGGGTGCTGCATGCTCCGCCGGACAAAGGTCTCGGCATCCGTACTTACTACACGCATCAGAAAATCCGGAGAGGAGAGGGGAGGAGAAACAAAAGAGAATCAAAACTTGCGGCAGTATAGTGTGGGGGCTGAAGAACTGATTGTACTCGTGTGTGTATGTGTGTGTGTGTGTGTGTGTGTGTGTGTGTGTGTGTGTGTGTGTGAGAGAGAGAGAGAGAGAGAGAGAGAGAGAGAGAGAGAGAGAGAGAGAGAGAGAGAGAGAGAGAGAGAGAGAGAGAGGAGAGAGAGAGAGAGAGAGAGAGAGAGAGAGAGAGAGAGAGAGAGAGAGCTATGAATAGTGGCGGCCAATTCTTCAGCCTTGCAAGCAGTTGAATGGTGCAATACCAGCACAAGTTGCTATGCTGTAGCATCGCTATCATCGCCTCCGGCGATGGGCGTCCAATGGTCCAATGGTGTGTGTGTGTGTGTGTGTGTGTGTGTGTGTGTGTGTGTGTGTGTGTGTGTGTGTGTGTGTGTGTGTGTGTGTGTGTGTGTGTGTGTGTGTGTGTGTGTGTGTGTGTGTGAGAGAGAGAGAGAGAGAAAGAGAGAGAGAGAGAGAGAGAGAGAGAGAGAGAGAGAGAGAGAGAGAGAGAGAGAGAGAGAGAGAGAGAGAGAGAGAGAGAGAGAGAGAGAGAGAGAGAGAGAAAGAGAAGAGAGAGAGAGAGAGAGAGAGAGAGAGAGAGAGAGAGAGAGAGAGAGAGAGAGAGAGAGAGAGAGAGAGGGAGGGAGGGAGGGAGGGAGGGAGGGAGGGAGGAGGGAGGGAGGGAGGGAGAGGGAGAGAGAGAGAGAGAGAGAGAGAGAGAGAGAGAGAGAGAGAGAGAGAGAGAGAGAGAGAGAGAGAGAGAGAGAGAGAGAGAGAGAGAGAGCGAAAGAGACACACACACACACACACACACACACACACACACACACACAGATAGAGAGAAAGAGAGAAACAGAGAAAGACAGAGGCAGAGAGAGACAGACAGACAGACAGTGTGGGAACCCACAACGGCCACTAAGACCCAGAGAGTGCGGGAGTGCCATGAGCATGCGGCAAGATAGCCATCAAGTCCTTGAATGTCAAAGAGGCTATCGTGTTTCCGGACTATAAGTCTTACTTTGAACACTCAAAATTCCCCCTAAAAAGGGGGGTGAGGCTTACACTCTGATGATCATGAAAATTAACCCTCATTCCATATTGACTTTGTGGATAATTCGTAATAGACTTAGAACTAAGAACTGAGATGGTGAGCCAAGGGAAAAATTGTAACATTGTAACAAACATGTAATTGTAACTTGTGCCCAAATTTTTCCATGTTACAAGAATTATTTATTTGTATCCTAACCAGTACATGATCGATTGTACTCTATGGAACAATTATGCGCCACTGCACAAATCAGGTATCTCTGCTACAATTCTTCCGAAATAAAAGTATAGTTCTATCCATGGATGCAGTATGTAAGATTCAGGATAAGGCACTGCATGATCAGGGTCACGGGGCGATTTTCCCGAGGGGACACGTAAAGTCAGGCGCGTACGCAGGGTCACCTCTAGGGGGGTTTCCAACCGAATCGCAAACAATTGCTCGTTCTTACCCTTTCTAAAGAGCCCTACGAATTTTTCAGAATTATGCATTTTTTCGTGTTCTTTGGATCATAACTTCAGTTCTACTCACTCAATCTTCATTATCTTGGGCTTCCTGGAAGTGGAAAGGTACCAGGGAGAGAATGAGGTCGACCATGATACTCCAGGACACAGTACAGTCATGTACATATCCAGCGCTATGGCTATTTTTAGCGGTAGAGTGCAAGCGACGGTGCGAAAAAATGCCCCAAACGAAAAAATGCCCCAAACTTTGGGGCATTTTTTTCGCACCGTCGCTGCACTCTACCGCTATAGCGCTGGATATGTACATGACTGTACTGTGTCCTGGCCAAAAGCCCCACCGCGTCCTGCTCCAGCGATTTCGTTTTTCTTGATCGCAGAGTTTCGATTTTTTGGCTGTGTTCTCTTGAAAATATCACAAGTGAAGCCCCTGCAAAATTGAGCAAGTCAGCGCGACGAAAAGTCCCAAATTCTGGATACTCCAGTCGGACTGCGCACTTTTCAAAATGGAAAATCGCGGCTCAACTTACTTACGAATGATTTATCTCAAGAGACATTGCTCGCAGCGCGTCGAAAATTGTTTCAACGGACAGCTGAGAGTTTTCTATTCGACCTGGATATTTGGATCGTTGGATTTGAGCGAGATTTGACTGAGTTGCGATCTGTTGAAGTTTTGCATTCTTGGACCCTACCAAAAATGCCCCAAAACGTTGCTCGTTTGGAACATTTGGGGGGTTTCCGGGCAACGGGAAACCCCCCCCTGCGTACGCGCCTG